TGTCCCAATTTTCTAACTGAAAGGATAAGATAACTTCTGGTTTCTACGAGAAGCACTGCTCTATCTCCAACACAAAATATATATCTAGACACCACCAAAAAAGTGGTTTTCCAACTTTTCCCCCTGTGGAGCACTGGAACATTGTTGAGGATCATAGAATCATAGAATTTTAGAGTTGGAAGAGACCCTGAGGGTCATCTAGTCCAAATCCCTACAATGCAATGCAATGCAGGAATCTTTGGAGCTCGAACACACAATCCCAAGATTAAGAGTCTCAGGTTCTATTGACTGAGCTATAAGAAGCCACTTGGATTTTTCAGCCCACAGTCCCAATTGTAATGCACTGTGCTAAATGCTTTTAATCGCATTTTTATTATTTCTTTTATTTTGTTAACATTGTAATATCATAAAAATACAATATAAGAAATGAAAGAAGCAATAAAAACACAATGAAAAATCAATATAAATATTTAATGCAATGGATGTCCTGTCTTCCAACTTGAGCCACAAATCCATTGACAAGTCACAGACAATTTTATGGGAGACACTGCCATAAATTGTTTTCAAAACAAGTTTTACGAAGAATTTGGTTTCTACATTGCACAATAATTTAGAATGGCACAGAAAAGCCTCTTCCTTCAGTGTTTTGATACTTTAACATCTTGACAAATGCTTCAACAAAATATTCAGTGATCGTTGCTATTATTCAAATCCTGAGAATACAAAACCCAAAGAAATGCTGCTTACCATATAACAATATGTAATTTTTAAAAATAATCCAAATAATTGATTTACTTTTAAGATAAAAAAGCAAAGATAACAAAAAGAAGCAGGTAGTAATAAAGAAAATTACCTTCAAATACGTATACCTTTGATGAGAAATACAGCCCAATGGGTAACATAATCATTAAAGTAGTGAAAAACAGGAGCGTTCTTAGGGTCGAAGCTAATGAAGTTTCATTTCTGCAAGAAACAAATCACAGTGTGAGAAACTTGAGCCGGGCCAGGCCCGACATATGGAACGTCCAATGTTCATTTAACCTGGCATTTGTAGGATGGATGAGGTGCAAGGAAGACAGTTAAGAAAGTAAGGAGGCAAAACAGTGTTTGCTGAAAAAGCATGTTAGGAGAGTAACAACTGATAAGTGAAAATGAATAACTAATCAGGCTAATAATAATAATAATAATAATAATAATAATAATATCTTTATTGTCATTGCCCCCTCTCGGGGACAGATTACTGCAGTAATCTGAACGCTAAGAAGAAGGTAATAATACAATGTCTTAGTACTGTGCCATGAGGCATCTCTTGATCCCACCACACCCTGGGTGGACAGGGGATCCTGCTGCAGTAGTAATGAAGATGTTTTTGCTTTAGAGTTAGGACTCTATTTGTATTAGTCCCACCCAGAAACAGACTAGGCAGCACCGGATCCGCTGGATCCTTAGCTGGCCCCACTGCCCTCACATGATGGTAACGGGCCCAATCCAGGCTTCTTTGCAGTATCAGCCCTGCTGCTGCTGTAGTGAAGGGGCATTTTCCTGTTTCTGCTGTCATGACCAACATGAATAGCTGGGCTGCTCTGTGAAGCCCTGCCACTGCAAGACAGGGGTTAGGATTGTAGCCTACTTTTACTTGTTCTGAAATCAACCAATAAATGATGGATTTACTTGTGGAATTACACTTCTCAGAACTGCTGAACAAGTCTACTACTGGTAATTAATACTGTCTATGGGAAACAATTAAGGCTATTGTTTTTGACAGATACTATGAAGATGCGGCAATATGTATGCCATATTGTTCAATTTAATGACTATTGATAGGAATTTAAAAATTCTCAAAGTCTACAAACAAGATAACATTTACTCTAATGCTAATGCTAAAGTTTTCTATCGAGTGAAAGCTGCATTCCTGGCAAGTATTACAACCAGAATTAACAAGCAATCAAATACCTCTCAATGGATTAACAAGTGATCAAATAGCTCCCTCTGGATACCAACTGCATACATATCGAGGAAGGAAAATATGTACCATATTTTTCGCTCTATAGGATGCACTTTTCCCCCCTCCAAAAATGAAGGGGAAATGTGTGTGTGTCCTATGGAGTGAATGCAGGCTTTTGCTGAAGCCTGGAGAGCGAGAGGGGTCAGTGCGCACCGAGAGTTCCCGCCGGGCTCAGAAGGCTTGCAGATAGCAGCAAGCTCCGGGAGCGAAGGCGAGGTTGCACGCAACCTTGCCGCCACTCCTGGACCCGTTCTGGGGGCTGGGGTCGGGGGAAGCTCGGGCTACATACCCTCTCAGCTACATACCCTCTCAGCTATTAAGAATAGCAAAGGGAGCCCTCTTGGTACTTCCCCCACTTTTTGAAATGTGGGGAATGGCAGCCTAGAAGAGGATTTTCTCCGCAGCAGCCCCTAAACTGTGGAATGCTGTTCCCACTCTGGCACCTTTCATCATACACTGAAAATGAATTTCTTTACTCTGGCCTCTTGACCAGAGTGGTGGTGTTGTTGTATTTATTTACTTATATTCTGCCTTTTTCCCTAACAGGGACTCCAAGTGGCTTATAGATAAAATAAGAACAGCTAAAAGGGAGGGGGTCCATTAAATTCTTCTTCTGATTGCATATTGTTTTAACAGATTTTGATCTTTTGTTTCTATATTGTTGTAGTCCTCTCTGGGACCTTATGGAGAAGGGTTGGTAAGAAATCCAATACATTTTACATCTTTGGAGCCAGTATAATGGAGTGAGACTCTGTATAGAAACATTGTTCTATATTTTTGTTTGCTTTCAGCCCCTTGCATTCTGACACAAAAGGGCCAAGTTCTATAGAAGTCTTAGTTAACCAAAAACAACTGAAAAATATAAAATAAAGATACTGTTTTAATAAGATTTTGCTTCAGCATTGAAATGCCTATGATACAACACTGCAACCTAGTGGAAACTGGAAATTTCTTAGCTGCTACTGTGAATCACAAATGGAAGCACATTTTAGTAGTACTTTAGGCTCCATAAGCAAATACAGCATTTGGTTTGTTATGTTAGATTTTACATTCAATCTGATACACGAATCACAGCTTATTTTTATGTGGGCTTCCACTAGTCAATGCTTGCTTTGTTGAGTTAGTTGTTTATACCAAAATAAAGTGACCTGGCCAAATCTAAATGTCAAAAACAGGTGCATTTAGATAATATAAACTGGCTTATACTGGTCACCTCCTGCTTACATACAGAGGTACTCTGGGCTGACTTGTCTGAACAGCATTTGCTCCTTGATATCTAAGTAACGAGCCAGAATGGTGTGGTTAGAGCTTCAGACTTTGGCTGGAAAGATCTGGATTCAAACATCAACTCAGCTACAAAAACCTTACTGGGTGACCTTGCCCAGTATATCCATAAGGTATACTGTTTAAAGAGCTATAGGCTGCCACCATGAATAAGAGGTAATATGAATTCCAGTCATGATCAGTTGTCAAGGTTAAAACTGACAAGAAATTTTGTTTTGTCATAAACTACATGTGGCAACAGGAACACTTGTTTTTGTTTTAAATAACAGTGTTTTGATAATTTTAATTTCAGTAATGAGCATATTTAAAAGATAACTTTGAAAAAGGCCTTCTGGTTTTTTTGATTATCATATCCAACCCCCCACCAGGACAATTTTCAATCCAACCCTCTTTTCTCCTCATGCTTTCCAGAGGCCTGCATGATCAAACTGAAGTACAACACACACACACCCTGCCAAAACCAAACCACATGCTATCCCAAAATGAAGACAATACCCTATCCCACTGTTCCACCGCCCCTACTGTGGTATTCAGCAGCATACTGCCTCCAATTCTCCAGGATGTTCATTTATTTATTAAATCCATCATCTCAGCTTTCCACTAAATGGGCGTTCCGTACAGCCAATCATCAGGTAGCTGCTGATAAAGACGTTTCCTCCAGGTTTGCCTAAATCACCCTTTAAATCCACCATAGCTAGTGACTATCCCCACTTATGCCTATGGGCTGCACCAACAAGCTAGCATGGTAAGTCAAATAGCTCAGTTGGTAGGGCATGAGTCTCTTAATCTCAGGGCTGTTGGTTTGAACCCCACATTGGGCAAAGATTCCTGCATTGCAGGGGGTTGCACAAGATGACCCTCCCAACTCTTATGAGAGAACATTCCACTCCATCCCTCTCCCCTTGACAGGAAGTCTCTGCAGCAATCCCTGACACCTCTAGGTAGGGCTGAGGAGGCCCCACACCTGAAACCCCAAAGAGCTGTTGCCAGCCAGTACAGAAACCAAGCGTTCAGGTATCTGAATGAACACCCTCCCGCCAGTAGAGATTCAGAGGGCACCTTCTTGTACCAATCTCTGCTATTCCGCCAGGCAATCCAAGAGAGCTAATAACGGCCTTTTGGGTGTTGTTTTTAAAAAGAAAATGCTTCCCACCCACCCACGCCTTTAACTTTTTATTGCAAATAAATCGATAACACTGAGCCACATAGACCAGTGGCCTGGCTCGGTATTAAGGCAGCTTCCTATGTCCGTTTCGTTTCCTCATTTTGACGTGCAGGGAACTCCCAACCCCCCCCCCCCATATCAGTCACTGGAAAGACACGCACGTCGCCCCCCCCCCGCGTCAAAGCAAGCGAAGGCCACAATCCTACATTCACTTACCTGGGAGTAAACCTCATCGAAGCCAACGGGGCTTACCTCTGAGTAGGCATACCCAGCACTCTCCCCCTCCATTCCCACCCGCTTCCCTCCCCACCTCCATTTTATGTTATTTGTTTTAATTTATAACCTGGGATCGGGAGGCGAGAGCGCGTTCAGGGCGGCCTTGTCGTAGCGCTCCATGACAGGGACGGTATGAGCCTTTTTACCCCCTGGGTAGGAAGGGAACAGGAGAAGCTGCGCGCGCCGAGAGAATCCTGGTCAGCTGACGCCTTCCCTTCCCATCCTCCACCGCGGCCGCCGGTCACGTGACGGAGGGCAAAAAAAAAAAAGGGGGAAAGGCTCGCCGGCGTCGCTTTGCAGAAGGGAGGAGAGCGAGAGAGGTGCCTAGACTGTCTCTCACGGTTTCGGGAAATGCCTAGACCGTCTCCCAGAGCGCCCTCTTGGAAGCCCCAGAGGTAGAGGTAGAAATGATAAATGAAAAGCCTTCGGATGTGAATAGGGCTGTGAGGGACTGGGGGCGACAAGCGGATGTAACCGGTTTTAGTCCTACTCGGAGCAGATCCGCCTAAAGAATCCTTTAATATCGGGGTGGGGGTCCTTTAATATCGGGGTGGAGGGGGGTGGGGTGGGCTAGTCCAGGCTGAGTGCGCACGCCTTGGAAGCGCAGCCTCTTCCGCAAAGTATTATGGGAAATGTTGTTTGCACCTCATATTTCAAAGTGCGCTTCTTTCCTTCAAAGGATTCTGGGAAATGTAGTTTGTCCCTCAGAATTCTCAACAGCAATTAATGCATTACAGTGCCCAGAGTTCTTGTGTGTGTGTTTGTTCGTTTCAGTTGTGCTTTTGAGATACAGTGGTGTACTGTATTAGTTGGTTATAACCCATTTTTTTTTTAAATTTTTAATTAATTTTTAATTACTTTGTGGCCAGTGCAGCCTGTATCATACAGGTTCATCCTCAGATATCATTTGTACTTTAAAAGTACAAATTCACTGGGAAAATATTAATACACTATATCTTAAACAGCAATTAAGATATTCTAAAAAAAAAAATCTGTGTCAAGAATGACTGATTGATTAATACATATAAAGATTTATATACTGTTGCAGGAAAAATCCGAGGGCTCCCTTGGACAAAACAAAGACACCAACCAGGATAACTTGGAGCAAAACAGCAGCCTGTAGGCTTGGCCTTTATTGAACTGATGCATCAGGGTGTTCCCCTCACTTGCAGGAGAGAGGAAAGACCCAGAAAAATAGTGTGCCAGGTCTTATAAAAACTTTTGAAATTCCCCTCCTCTAGGTCAAGCCCACCCCCAGAAACATCATGCATACATTACAGAAAGGAGGGGTTGAGGGAGGAGTTGGTGGTAACCTGAGTGTCTTGTCACCTGGCTGGTTCCTCCTTTCCCCCCTCCCCATGAGTCACTTCCAGGAGACAAAGGGGAGTTTGCAGTTTCCTGCCCCCTGAGGGAAGATCTGATCATTGTTCTTTGTTTCAGTCGTGTTGAATCCACTCCCATATGCAAGTTCTTTGTGGTCTTGATTGTCTTCTGTCTGGGATCATCTGGGCAGGGCTCCTGCAGATGTGCTGAGATGTGCTGAGATGGTGGAGGGATTATGGCTGACCAGGAATAAGTCACCCCCCTTTGTTAGTTCTTGTCATATGGAGTAAAATAAAAATGGAACAGTGCAAATCCGATGTATGGTTGATTTTCTATGAATTTATAACAGAAATGTGGCGTATGTAGTGTGTGTGTGTGAGTGTGTGAAGTTTGTACAAGCAGAATGATTGGGGTGGGGGGGTTCCTGCTACAGTTCCCCCCTTCGGAGATAAGATTGCAAAGGTGGCTACTTTGCAATCCTTTTCTCCGCACAATTTAAGGTGGTAAATATTAACCTGCTATTCTCCGTGTGTCCATGTGAACGTGAAAGGGACTTGGATGTCATGCTTCTTAAGGATATTTGCATAGAAATATAATGGTGTAACAGTGCACATAGTTAGACATAGGATATCATGTAAAATTAATATTTTGTTGCTCAGTTACTTGTGGCATTCTAGTACCTTGGAAGAGATATTTTCTCAATAGTGGCGTATGCTTTACATTTAGCAGGAAGGTCCACTAATGACTGAAAAAATGCAGTTTGCTTTGTCCCCCGCCATTTTTGTGTTCTCAGGTGTCAAGGTAGCTCTTCTATGGTCTCACATCGGCATGGTGTCGCAGTAGTGGCAATCCCTGGTGAATCCACTTAGGGCTTTCATATTAACCATGTTGTCTGGCACTCACCACAGCTGGCACAGGTTTGGGCACGTCCTGAGGGAAATGTCTTCGCCTTGGCCAGTCTATGGGATTTTTTATTATAGGCTGTGGTCTTGCACTCATGGGAAGTTGCTCACTTGCACTTAAAGGACCAAAAGCTAATTGCAGCCTGGATACACTTGCCCAATTCAAACTGAGTCCAATTTGAATTTATCTTGCCCCATGGTTCTCAACTTTTCAAACCAATCTGTTAAAACAAAACCATTCTTAAAGGGCACTTGTCCAAATAAGTCAATTTAACTCTATAAGGGATCATTCCTGCTAAACCAAAGCATATCCACCTTCATGTTTCTTAGAAGCTTCTCCTTGGTAAAGCAGGTTTTGGCACATTTTTAAAATGGGTAGGGAAGGTTGGCATAGAGCCAGGTGGAACAACGAAATATGGTTATAAATTTATCTAATTCTAAACATTGGACTACATAATAGCCTGGTCTCTTAAAAGGCATAAAATGTATGAGAATCCTCCACTGGGTTGTAAGGAATAAGACATTAAACATAAAAACAATTAAACAGAAAAATAGCCCCCAAAATAGCCCCCCCCTTTGTGGAAATAACACACTGTCAGACACATTTCAACATTCCTACGTAATAACACATAATACAAAACAAACTAATTAAATATCAGTTGCATATCTTGAGATAATTGTGATCTTCTCAATCCTGGAGCACAGTCTTTAAGGTTCAAAAATGAGAAAATGTCCTTCCAATTCAACTCCACCCCCCTTTGTCAGCCCCACTTCCCCTTTGAAAGAAATTGCTGTGGCCACTTTGAGAACTTTGGCGTCTGTCGTTGCTGCTGCAGGTAATAGTTTTGTGGTGGCGAAGGTTTTCATTGGATCTGTAGTAGCACATCTGTAGAAGTGATATCCTGTAAGGGGCAGGGTTTTGGAGACTTAAAAGACAAGAGTTAGAAAAGAAGGGGCAAAAGCCCCGTCCCCAAGAAAATCTCCTTGAGTTATTAGCTGCAAATAATAAAATCTTAGCATGTTAAGCATTTTACTCATTTTAATATTATTATCACATTTCCATATAATTACTGTTATTATCTGCTAAGTTTGTTTGCTTTCCTTCATTTAGTTTTTTTCTTCTCCATATTATTAAATAAAAATTACTCCACGTGTAGAGAAAGAGAACTGTAAAAAAAATACAAGAAAGTTTAAAAAATAAAAAGAAAGCAAAAAATTAGATTACCATTCAGATGAAAACGAACTTGACACAAAGACATCAGATTCAGAAAATAATTATTATTAAATAATACAAAGATTTTATCAAAACCACAGATTTCTACTGGACTAAAAAAATGGGAAAACAATGGAAAAAGGCTTCAAATTCAGCATGTGCTATCTGATAAGTAGAACTTGATGAAAATGACTTTCAACATGTGATGGACATGTCCCCAAAGTAAAACACACACACACGCACACACACGCACACACACACACACACACACACACACACAATGACCTATGAGGAACCAAAAATAAATAAATGCTAAGACACACAATTTGTTTTTTTTTGTTGTTGTTGTTGTTGTTTTTAACCTGAAGTCACCTGAAGTAACTTGTTTTGGCATTCTAACAACCCAATGAAAAACTGATTAATAAATGAAAAACAGATTATTTGTAACCTAAAAAAGTGTCAGAGATAGAGGAAAATCAACTAATATAGCAGGGATTCAGACTTGTTTTGCTGAACAGAAAGAAAGTGACTGTTTGGCTTTAAGGGAAGAAAGACAAAAGAAATACAAATGCAATTACTTTTATAGAGTATTTAAATCACTGTTTGCATCCCCTCATTATCATTTGTGCTGTGGGAGAAAAGAAGGGACAAACACTTTGTTAATGGGGTTCACATATCCTGTTAAAAGGGGAAATTATTTCATGTGAGAAGTCTGTCAGGAAATGCTGTTCCTAAAATGCATAGGCATATACACACACAAAAAAAAACTGTTATAAAATTTAAATCCCATTGGGGAGGCAAACTACTCAAGAGAGGAACTCACAGTGGGAGTGCTTTGATATTTACCTGTGAAAAGAAATCGGCATGTCAAGACCTGAAACCTGGCAACCTCTTGACCCTTGATGGTCCAGTACCCAACCCCTTTGTCTTAATTAGCCCCTGGAGCAAAAGACACATCAAGGATGATCTCCCCCAATGGTTCCAAGTTCTTTTCATAAGGAAATTTGGATAAGCTTCTCCCTGCAGGCAAGCTCTCAAAACCTCCTCTCTCCACCCTACAGTTCCCCCTCCTTCCTCTCTCTCTCTCTCTTTTTTTTGACTGATCTAGCCTCTGTGTATGTGCAGAGTTCATGTCTCAGCAAACCTTTTATACTATTGAAAATGTTGCATCCTTTGGCTAAATTACCATTTGAATAAGGGAAGGAAAGGGTAAGGAGTAGATTTTAAAAATAGGGTTAGATTTTAAAACAAAAAGGGGAAACTCAGTAATTCAAGTATTCACCAAAGCTAGCAATTGCAGCCCAGGCAAAGGACTGCTTCCTTTATGTACAGGAAAGGGCTAATATCCCTCTGGTATTCACCAAAGCTAGCAATTGCAGCCCAGGCAAAGGACTGCTTCCTTTATGTACAGGAAAGGGCTAATATCCCTCTAGTATTCACCAAAGCTAGCAATTGCAGCCCAGGCAAAGGACTGCTTCCTTTATGTACAGGAAAGGGCTAATATCCCTCTGGCTATTCGTGGAACAATGCCACGCCCTTATATAAGGGGGAAATGGCCAGAGAGTCAGAATTCATAGGATTTTATTAATATTATTATTATTATTTTAAATATTCTCAGTCATTTCAGCCTCACCATTTGCAGACAATTTTTTTCCTGCCCTTTATTTACAGGATTGGTCAAGGCCCCCATATGTATTTGTATGTGCTTAAACTTTGAATTGACTCTGAAGTCTGATCCCCCCCCTAATGATACACTGTAATCAGCTTGATATTACCAGTTGTGCTTCAAAACATCACAGCTTCACCTCTCACCTTTTAAGACTAAAGAGCAAAACTAGGCTGAATTTCAACTCCATCAGCACGGCCAGAATTTAAGAATTACCCTCCAATGCTTGCAGACACATGTTCCTTCCACACAGCCACAAATTGGGAGAGTTGAAAGAGACCCTGGGGTCATCTAGTCCAACCCTCCAAATATAGAGTTCACAGCAAGATTCCACAGCAGGATTTGTACTATCAAAGAGACATACACATTTAAGTACAGATTTACAACTGGGAAAGGAAACATCTATGCTCCTATCATGTACTAAGGAAGAGGAAAATAAAAGTACCCAACTTTACACAGAACCCCTTTTAGCAGATCTTGAGATAGTTTGAGTGAGTTTGCTTCCTTACACTAAAGAATGCAAGTTCTTAGAGAAATTATCTTTAAAGGAAGATTGAAGTGAACATTTTTCCTAAGATAGGGAGAGGATCTCTTATAAAGCAAAGTTAATTCAATTGATATAACCACTCACAGCCATAATTAAAACAGCCATAGATTTGATTTAAAGGGAACACAAAAGTGAATAGGAAAGTGAGATGCAGGGTACCTTGGGAAAGATTGCTCCCCCCCTCTTTGCAGTTTCCTTTAAAGGAAGCTTACTCGGGAGTAAATTTACCTGGCACAGAAGTAAGAAGGGAGGAAAAAACTGAAACAGATAGAATGAAACAAGGGGGGGCATTTTCTGAGAAAAGAGGCCAGGAAGTCTTATAGAGACTGATATTTGGACTGGACTCTTAGAATTTTGCTGGCCATGGAAGCCTCTACATTTAATAACAATTTTCTTAGAAAGAACACCATCCTTTCATAGGCATGTGCTTAATGAAATACATACACTGCATTTTAGCTTGAGAGAGCAGTTGGCTCAACTAGGCTTTTGCAGCAGAGACATTAGGTTTTTTTTCACAGCACATTTCAAAATACTGAAACAAAAGACTGGAACACGGATGTAGACTCACAAACTCAAAAGTTACAACAAAACATCATTTACCACTAGACTTAAAATCACCCTCCTCTTTTAAACTAGTGGAAGGAGGGGAGGTAATCCTCCTTTCAGAACACAGGTAGCATGTATACAGGATTTTACCACTTGGGAGGAAAACTCTTTTTTTTAGAGCTTTTCTCAAATAACAAACATTTGCACACTTCATATGTGAATACAAACCCTTGGAATATTCCTAAATCCTTGAGTACATCTCTTATTCATTTATTATTATTATTTTAATAACTAAGATCTCTAATGCGTGGGCTCTCAAGCTGGGCTGTTATTATATCTACTGCCTTCTGAGCACCATTAAGTTTTTCGTTTTATGTTCTAGCTTTAGGTCATAGTTTAACAACACAAATTTGATGTTTTCAGCTCTCCCTATGGGTTCACACCCTGATTTTGTTGAAGGATCCCTGAGGTGGCTGCTGTGCCCTGGGTTCCAGGTGGTGAGCTTAGCCACCCACTAAAAGTTACAACGGTCTCATACTTTGTACTTGAAAGACCATTTTGCCCCTTTATTTTATTTTTTCCCAATTGGAGATGACAAGCTGGAGGGGCATATTAGAATCCTCTCTGGGGCAAAAAGGCTTCATGGAAGCTTTGTTGCCAGGAGGAGTCCAGCTAGGGTGTTTTAGTGAGCTCCCATTCTCTCATATGTTATTATTGGGCTTTTTTTATTAACGAAGTACGCTAAAGACAGAAAGAGTGGAAACACACACACAAGGGAGGAGGGACAATGGGGAAGAAAGGGGGGCAGATAAAAGATCCTTTCAGTACTCAAAGTACCCTTGACTAACACAATTCCTTATCTATCTATAAACCACAAATTAATTTCTGGAAATCTCAAACCTGAACCTGAAACAAACTGCTTTAAAACAATCTCATAAGTGGGTGATATGAAATGGTATAAGATGCCTTTTTAAAACAGCAATAAAAACAGATTTTTAAATGGTAGATATAACAGACTGGCCAAAATGTAGGTGAAAACAGTGCATAAAAAAATTAGATGTCTGAGCAGGCTTGCCACTTTTCAACCTGGGGTTCCCAGAGCAGGTAACAATTAAAATCAAGCTCTTAAAACATCCAATTAGCAGCAACAATTATTACTAAAACAGTGGATGTTAGGAAGAGTTAGAAGTTAACACTGCATAAAATCAAAGCCATAAGATTAAAAAGTAATCACAACAACTGTATTATTTATTTAAGACATTTATGTCTCACATTTCTTCCAAGAAACTCATAAGTAGCATATATTGTTCCCTAGCCCCTTTTATCCTTATAGCAACCCTGTGATGTAGGCGGACAGCTAATTACTGGCCTAATATCACATTGGCTATGTTTGTGCAACACTCTACTATGCAATACGATATAATAAGCATTAATAGAACACTCTATGGTGGCTATTAACAATATCAGCCTTGCATATAACTGTCAGGCTGTATCTCTTTTCATAGCCTTTTGGCTCCCATGTTTACAATCTCTCTCTCTCTCTCTCTCTCTCTCTCTCTCTCTCTCTCTCTGTGTGTGTGTGTGTGTGTGTAACATACCTAGGCTTGCCAGAACTGAATTCTCCAGGTTTGCCTGGCCACTCCCAGGTGGCAGGAGGAGAGCTTGTATATCCTGGTAGGTGAGAGCGCCTTACATTTTAATTATATTATTATTAAGAAGACTGTGCAAGCTTCAACCCGGCAAGAGCCTGCTGCAAATTATTGCACAGACCCTCAGAGGGGGGTTGCAGCGGTGTCTGCCTACAGAGGGATGTGGTCCTTGTGCTGAAATGATCCCCTAAAACCATTTAGTGGTGCACACCCCCCATGGTATCTGTAGAGATGAAGGTTGGTCTATATTTTTTAATATTAAACAAGCACATGAATACAACCCTGCTGAGGTGCACGCACCATTGTGAAACCTCAGGAGATTATGGTGATGCAGCTCCAGGGTTGCCGTCAGTTGCAGACTACCTGTGACATCATAATTGTACATGGCAACTGAGTGGATATAAAGGTGGGCCTTTTTCTCTTCTCCAACAGAACATAGCAGAAACAGTTGTAAGATTCAGGGTTGCCCAGTCTTCTTCCACTTGGAGAAGGTGAATTGGCAGGTGGATGGAGGCAATCATCTGGTTGTGGGATGCTGTGGAGCAATGATAATGCAAGTTCACTTGCTGAGCAGGTGGATGGAGGCAATCATCTGGTTGTGGGATGTTGTGGAACAATAATAAGGCAAGTTCACTTGCTGAGCAGGATCACGTCTTGAAGGCATCTGATAATCCATGGTCATAAGCTGGTTGATGTCTAATGATGGACCTAGCAGATGTTAGTGGGTGGAAGCTGGTAAAGTCAGCATTCAAAAACAGGTACGTAGATGCCTCAAGGCTGAAGCAGGCTGATGTTTGTGAATGTCAGTTGGTTGGCATTTAGGTCTGGAAGCCAATCAACAAAAACGGGTGGATATTGAAGTTGGGGCATGATTGTGAATGGAGAACAAAAGATGAGCACTGGCCCCTGCACCATTAGGGAGGGGGGTACCATCACGGCCGCCACCGCCCCCGGACGTGCGCCCCCCCCCCACAGTGCTGGGTGCCATGCCCCTGGGACGCACACCACACCCCCGGTGCCAGAGCCTGCAGCTTCGCCACTGAAGGTGAGTGAAGGTGTCTGTTATTGTTATACATTTACAGTGGTACCTTGGGTTACAGACGCTTCAGGTTATAGACTGTTAAATGTTTGGAAAAAGTCAGAAGCCCAAGGCAGTATAAGTTCCTCAACTACGTTTATTCAACATTTGTCAGTGACAACAGCTTACTCATAGGAAAACAAGAACCGAACTGACTGGATAATACAATAATAATGAGCATGAACTGACCGTTGACAGTTGACAGTTGAAAGTGCATGCACTTGCCATTAGAACTTTCATCTACCAATGCTTATACGATTGGTTAGAATGCGCCTTGTAACATAAAAACATAGTCATCAAGGTGTGCTGGCCTTTTCTGCTCCCGCTGGGACCGTCGTGCTTCCTGTGCCCGAGTGGGTGATCCAGGAGGTTCCTCCGGTACCCGCGGTCTAAGTGGGTCGGCTCCGAAGGGGTCACTGCCGATGGAGCCAATGAGGATTCCAGCCTGAAGTCGCTCTGCTGGGGTAACTCAGTCACTGGCAACCTGTCTGGTTCCCACCCTGGCCTGGGCACAGAATCTCCCGAAGTACCCATTTCTCTGTCCTCTGGTTCCGCTTGAAGTTCTGTGTTCGGAGGTGCCCTGACTCTGATTTGGTCGAGGTGTCTCTTCCAAACCAATCCCCCCTCCAACCCTACCTCGTAGGAAACCGGACCTGTACAGCAGGAAATGATACCAGGGACCCAACCCTGTTCAGGCCTGTAGTTTCGGACATAAACAGTGTCCCCCAGGGAGAACCCTCTTGGAGCCCCCCGCACCACAGTGGAATGGCCGTTGCTCAAGAGTGCAACAGGGTGCATATGATCAAGGAGGGTAGTGAGCCTCCTCCCCCTAAGCAACTCTGCAGGGCTCCGGCCGGTCACTGCACTTGGGGTGATGTGTTGGGCCAGTAAGAACTCCGCTAACCAGAGAGTCCAGTCTCCATGCACTATGCGCCTAAGCGCATCTTTGGTAGTACGGACCATGCGTTCAGCTTGGCCGTTAGTGGCCGAGTGAAAAGGAGTAGAACGAATGTGGCGGATTCCATTCTTGGTTACAAATTCTTTGAATTCCACCGAAGTAAAAGCGGTCCCATTACCACTCACCAGTGTGTCTGGCTTGGCTGTGTGTCGCAAATAGCTTCCTGAGCGCGTTTATAGTTGCTCTAGCAGACACGGTTGAGATCGGCACCACCTCGAGCCACTTGGACTGAGAGTCAACCACTATTAGGAAGTGTTGGCACTGAAAAGGCCCTGCGAAATCCACGTGCGCCCGGAACCATGGGGACTGTGTGGACTCCCAGGACTGTACTGGTGCCTTGGGTGGAACTGGCCGGGAGACAACGTTTCACCCAGCCCTCTATCTCCTCATCTATGCCTGGCCACCACACATAGCTATGGGCCAATGCCTTCAGCCCTTCTAAGACAGTGCTGTAGCAAGTATTGATAACCGGCCAGGAAAATGGATCAGCGCAATACTTGTGGCAAAAGCATCTGGGGTGTCTGGTGGTTGGGCGCAAAGAGTCCCAGGAGTGGCTTGTGGTCGGTAACAATAGTGAAAGGCTGACCATAAAGGAAGTCATGAAACTTTTTGACTCCCTTAACTATTGTTATTGTATTCCTTGTCGATCTGGGAGTAGTTGCGGTCCGCCGATGTCAAAGTTTAGGAGAAGTAAGCCACTGGGACTTCCCTCCCATCTGGAAGCTGGTGGCCCAGTACTGCACCTACTCCATAAGGGGAAGCGTCGCAAGCCAGCGCCACTGGGAGCATTTCATCAAAGTGTGCCAACACTGGGTTGGGCACAAGCAAGTCTTTGACCCCTCGGAACGCCTTGGCCAGTCGAGGGCCCCAGACCCACTGCACTTTTTTGTTCAGGAGCCTGTGCAAAGGCTCAGCTACGGCTACCTTGTGTGGCAGGAACACGTGGTAAAAAATAAGAAGTCCCAAGAAGGCTTGTAACTCTGCCTTGCTCTTTGGGTCTGCGGCATCGCAAATGGTGCACACTTTGTCCTCTGCTGGATGGAGGCCGTCCGTGTCAACACAGAACTCCAGGAAATCCACACTGCACTTTTTCTGTTTTACCTCAACTCCTGCCGCCTGGAACCGTTGGAGCACTATCCGTAATCCGGCAGCAAATTCCTCTCTCAACTGTGTGGCTATCAGCACATCGTCGAAAAACGGCGTGATTCCGTGGATGCCTTTATGGAGACGGTCCATTAGGCTCTGAAATAACCCTGGGGCCATGCTAACTCCAAACTGTAGGTGTTTGACCCTGAAAGCACCCCCATGAGTCATGATTGTCTGGGCGTCTGTGGTGGCCTCGTCAACAGTTAGCTGCTGATAAGCTTGCGCTAAATCTAGCTTCCCAAAGATCTTTGCTCCAGCCAGGGTTGCTAACATGTGGCTCACCACCAGAACTGGGTACGTGTGGTCCTGTAAGACCCGGTTCAGGGTGCATTTGTAATTGCCACAGATACGGACTGAGCCGTCCGGCTTAACCAGTGTGATGATTGGAGTTTCCCAGGTTCCTGAAGCTACCGGCTCTAAGACCCCTTGGGCGACTAAGTGATCAAGCTCCTCATCAATCTTGGGTTTAAGCACAGACGGGACTCTACAGGCCTTGACCCGAATGGGTTGCACCGTGCGGTTGAACCATAGGGAAATCAGGGGTTCCGTCGAAGACTGATGAAAACTCCTTGCAGATCAATTTGAAATCTGCCCCTGGGGAAATCTGATTAAGCCCTGAAATACCTAAGCCTAACGGTCCAAACCATTCTAGGCCTAGAAGGCTAGTGAGTGGGCCTTCAGTTACGATGAGGTTCAAATTCTTAGTGTACTTCTTAAATTGGACCTTGAAGGTCCAATTTCATCCCCTTTAGCTGGATTCTTTTTCTCTGGAAGTCCCGCAGCACTACGGGGGGCCGGGCGGAGAGGAGGGCCACCCTTTAGGGCAAAGCTCTTTCAGAGTCTTAGCAGATATTATGGAGTAGGATGAGCCAGTATCCAACTCCATAGTACACCAGGTTCCCTCTATCTTGAGTTGTACCCTAAGCTTATTGGACCCTGGGGACGGAAATTGAAGTACCCTAGCTGGAGAGGTGGACTGTAACTCCTCCTCTATGAAGGCCTTGTGGACATGTTGCTTGGGTCATGCTCCAGAGGTCTTGGAGCGGGCAGACTCGACCAATGTGCCCAGTCTTCCCACAGCAGTGACATGTGGCATCCCAAAACCTGCATGTCCAACGCTTCTGGTTTTCTCCACATCTGGCGTGTGTCAGACGCACAGTCAGGTGCGTCAGATGATCGCTGGTTCAACAATGCTCTCGTAGCTTGGGAGCGGTGGTGTCGGTCGGATTGGTCCGAAGCTCAGTGGACATCCTCATTGTAGGAATCTGCGGAAGATGACCGGTCTCGCTGGATGCGGTGAGTTCTCTTTTCGGTACGTGGGCTGTGGGCCGCCTCGTGGGCGTTATCCTTCTCAAAGGCAGTGGCCATATTCATTGCTTCCATCATTGTGATGTTGTCTTTTGCCAGAAGCTTGCTGTCTTGCACGCCACTGATTAACCTTTTGAGAAGTCGTTCCTCGATGTCAGCGAATTGGCAATACATCGCAATCGCCCAGAGCACTGTGATGTATTCACTCGCTGACTCTTGCACTTGTTGCTTTCTCTGCGCAAAGTCGTAGCAGCGGTGGTTCTTAGTTGGCTGAAGCGCGAGGTGTCTTGTCATAGCCTGTGTCAGCTCATCGAAAGTGCATGCCTCTATGTCCCTGGGTGCCATTAGACCTTCCAGTAGAGTGATGGCGGAACTTCCCAGCACCGCCAGTAGCACATCCACCTTGTCTGCCTCCCTAGTAAAGCTTTGTAGTCGGACGTAGCTCCTTATTCGGCGGAGCCACTGCGACCATTCTGCAGGATGGCTCATATCGAAGTCCAGCGGCAGCTGACTATGAGTAGTGGCCATCTTTGGACAGGAGCAGTCACTTGTGTGATTGTGGGTGGTTGCGAAGATGTGGCAGGTGCGGTCTCGTTTTTGGGACTATTTGCTGAGTCCAGCTTGGTGGTAAGATCGCGCTAACTGTGAGGCTGCAGGCAACGGTGCTGCGGTGCAGTCTTGGGCCTCTGGCAGCCAGCGGGAGTTCATCTATCCCATCCTAGTCGCCAATGTTAAATGTTCAGAAAAAGTCAGAAGTCCAAGGCAGTATAAGTTCCTCAACTACGTTTATTCAACATTTGTCAGCGACAACAGCTTACTCATAGGAAAACAAGAACTGAACTGACTGGACAACACAATAATAATAACAAGCATGAACTGACTGTTGACAGTTGAAAGTGCATGCACTTACTTGCCATTAGAACGTTCGTCTACCAAAGCTTATACGATTGGTTAGAACGCGCCTTGTAACATAAAATGTGTTAAACCCAATACATAACACAGACGCTTCAGGATACAGACTCCACTAACCCAGAAATAGTACCTCGGGTTAAGAACTTTGCTTCAGGATGAGAACAGAAATCGGGCAGCAGCGGCACAGTGGCAGTGGGAGGTCCCATTAGCCAAAGTGGTACCTCAGGTTAAGAACAGTTTCAGGTTAAGAACGTGTAGCCTTATGAGGCTTTGCCCTCGGGTGGGAAAAATATTGCGCCTGGGAAAGGGAAGTGGGAGTCAACAGACTCTCAAGGAATAGTTTCGGAGGAAAGGCTTTTATTTCTACCATCCATGAACTGGTAGAAGGAGCAGGTGTGATAAGTCACAAAAAGCATGCACGAAATTCACAGTCCTGTGCACAAGCATATATACCCCTTTCCAGTTCCCTCCTCCTTTCTCCTCCCTCAGGAGTCCTGCCCCATGTTGAGGTTCCTCTGAGCATGAGCAGAAAGCTGTCTTGGGACTATTGTGGACTCTTGGCAGGAAAGGGGGTGAGGGGGTTTTCAGAGTGTTCCCGTTGTTTTATTCTTGTGCTTTGGCATGGTTCCCGGAGAGAAAGCAAGTTGCAATGTGGTTCTGAGAAAAGGCCTGAGAAGACAATAGGCTCTGTTCTCTACCTTGTTGCAATCTTTTTAGTTACAGCAAGCGGAATGTTTCTGATGCTTAGCTGCTGAGAAAATGATTTTGAAAAGCTTTGAGAAGCTTTGAGCCTGCTTGGGGGGGGCCTAGGTGAGGTCACCTGTCCTCACCTTCCTTCAAA